TCAGGACTTCTGCACAACAGCTCACCCCTTTCCTGCTTGGTCTGCGAGCATTACAGGTTTTCAGTCTTCTTATAACTTCCAGACAGAACTGTTTTCTCTGGGGCTGGAAGTCCTGAGCAGTGCAGACCTCTTCTTTCCTTCCCTGATGATGTTGTCTTTTCTTACATAAAGGAAACAATGCAGGTGGTTGTGAACTTTAAAATCATGCTGTCAACTGTTTTCTTCTCTTGGTGAAATGAATGTGTTCTTAACTAGGCCATGTTGGGAATTCTACCTGTCAGAAATCTAAATAGAGTTGAATGAAATTTGCGCTGTGAAGGTGTATGTAAGCATATTAGTGCTCTGTTTCTACCTGTGCGTGCCTGGAGACTTGAACTGGTACACACAGAGCTTTTAAAGCTCAGTCAGGCCTTGTTTACATGGCTCAATAATGAAGAATCCTTTTCACTACTGTGCTGCTTTTGACCAGGTTACTGTTGATGGGAAAATGTTTGGGGAGAAGCAAAGGTGGTTTTTTTTTTGTTTTGTTTTTTTTTGTTTTGTTTTTTTGTTTGTTTTTGTTTTTGCTTTTTGGCTCTTAGAAATTCTCAGATGCTGTTGCACTTCTGCAGAGAAAGAAAGGCAAAGAAAGGAAGATACCTCTTGCATCCAATAAACATTGGCTTTGGAGAGAAGGGGCAAACATCTGAAAGCCAAAGCTAATGGCCCTGTGGTGGGTTCCTGCTCTGTTAAAGCAACAGTAATGAGACGTGAAGTGCTGAAGGAGATGAACTTTTCTTCTCATGCATCCTGGACTCATGTTCAAAGGCAGAAGTTTGGTTTGTTTGCTTGGAAGATGATGAGAAGAAGGTCTTCAGAGGGAGCCCTGTGCACAACTACAGGCCTGTGGTGCAGGAGGGAATTCCAGAAAGAAAAGCCTCTAATTCTTTCACACTGATGTAAGCTCTTGAGGAAACAACGTAACTGACCAAATCTTTATTTGTGCCACGTCCTTCACCTACATCTTGGTAAAGAACTAAAAGCAAGAACAGCCTGTGGAGAATTAAAAAAGCTGCAAACTCAGTCGTCACTGAAATCCTGTCAGTTCTTTTCAGCTTTGCCCTTTTGTGGCCTCATGTGCAGCTGTTCCCTAAATGTACAAACCCGTGTTTTAAAGAGGGAGAGCAGGAATTTGCAGCCTCCAAAACATTCCCGGGTCTGTGCAGAAATGGAAAGTGTTCTAGAAACTAATGAGCTGTTACTGATCGTGATGAAGATGTCTCAAGTGTACTTCTTCTAAAGAACAAACTGTAATACTACCTGGTATTTTCGGATTTGATCTTATATTCTTTGTTCTTTTTCCTTTCCTCCTTTCTGCTTTGGTTTCAGTGAATAATGTTTTCAATTTACTAAGTTTCATCAGACCTGTTTTTATCACTTTTAAATAATTTTCTTTTGCTATTGATTGAAGGCAGTATAATCTTTTCTGATTTAACTTAAGCTTATTCTTGTTCCATCTTTTTCTAGTTATTTCTATATGTTTATATTATATGAATAATATTTTACTTTTTCTGACTCAATCTTCATTTCCCAGTTCGCTCTGGCACAGGTCTGTTCCCTTTGCAGCTGTGTGCATTGGTTCCGATCCCCGTATTTTTTCTCAGTTGTATTAAGACATGGAGTTACTCACACACAAAATATGGATTGTTTGACAGGGTGTTGATGACAGTATGACAGTAGGTTTTTGTTTTGTTTTGTTTTGTTTTTAATGGTGATTTAACAGGGTAGGCAGTATAGCTTGCTATCCTTGCTCAAAGGGAAATCCCATGGTTATTTGTCCTTACTGTTATGCTGTGGTTCACGCTGTGCTGGCAGATGTGACGTTAACTGCAGTTTTGCAGGCAATATGCTGCAGTGTAAGTACTGCTTGGCTGGGGAGTGTGAGGAGGTGCTTTATTTTTTCAGTGAACTTCTTGGTATTAGCAAAAGTGTTACATGCCAGAGATGCACATACTTCACCTACGGTTATAAAGTGCTATTTACTTTTCTCTTGCAAACACAAAAGCCAAGTGGGAAGGGATATTTCATAAACTCAGTGCTATTGTATCCTCTGGTCTAAGCCATAAAACAAGAGTAACAGAGACGTTCCCTTTGAACTTGAAATCCCTCTCTAAGCTGCTGATCTAACCTAAGGGAGAGGGGGAGACTACACCAGCCAGAAAATGTTCTCTTCTGGGTATTTCTCTTCCCCCCTACCCCTTTTCTTTTTCTAAAGTCCTTAAGTGAGTTTGATGCTGCACCTCTGCCCATAAATTTATAAAAATATTATCGTAATGTAGGTCAGTGAACTGAAACGCCACTGTACACCACAGGGGATTAAAGTCAGAGAGGCAGCCCTCTCCCACTCCCACTAGGTCATATGACAATATAAACAAGAAATGCAAGGAGCCTTCAGCTTTTTCTTGCCCTAATCCTTTGTTTATGCAGCACTTAAACTGACTTTCGGGGTCGTCTCTGTCTGGCATTAAAGCCCTAAAGCTTTTTGAAGTTTCCCTGAAGTTAATAAAATTAGTCTGCCCTCATTGCTAGGCCCCTTGCTGCTGCTTCGGAGCAGACTGCATATCCCTTACTGTCTTTGCGGCGCTTGGCTTTTTAAGTTAATAATATTTTATAACAAAAAAGTGTTTGAGAGAGAGTCAGAGATCTCCCCAAAGGCCATTCAGCTAACAGGCAGAGTGGTTGCTGTTGTAGATGCTCTGAAAACTCAGAGGGGATTAACTTAAAATCCAGTGATCCGAGGTAAATTGCTGGTAGAGTAATTGGAAGTGGTGAGTTTCAACTGGAGAGAACGAGACGTGTTTCTGTGGCTTTTAACAAATGAAGACTAAAAAGTATTTTTTCTACTATTTTTGTAAAATTGTCTCAAAGTTGAGATAAATGAGGTTTCCTTTGCAGTAGTTACCTCCAGGCTGTACCCCTTTACCGATTGATTGTACTGCAAAGACTGATTAACTACCATAGCTCGTGTCAGCGATCTATCACTAAGTTGTCTTCATGGGTAAATCGGTGACAGGCTGATTTGGGGTTGGGGCACAGTTGTACTTCATGTGCGGGGCTGTCTTCAGCCTGTAAGGGTTTTATTCCAGCAGTTGCTAAGCACTACTAAGGAGATTCATCTTCTGATGGCAAATGATGTTCAGGGAATAATGGGAATACGGGCAGAAGATGAACGATTGGCAAAGGAGGGTATGTGCCATAAAATCACATCTCCTTATGGGGAAGAAAAGGTGCTTTAATAAATAATAATAATAATGGTATTGATTGTGGTTATCATTGCTGCTTTATCTGGGAGCCCTTGGTGCCTGTGGCACATGTTTGTAGAGATTGCTCAATTCTTAGGACAGCTTTGCTGGGGAGGCTGAACTGAACCATGCTGGCAGAGTACGATTGTTCTCTAAGCCATACAGGTCTCAATTAACTTAAAAGTAACTTTGAAGCACTCCTGGAAAAATAAAATGTGTTTAAATTGTCTGAAGTTGGACTCATGGGCCATTGTGAGGGAGAGCAACCGAAATAGTGGGTGTATGGGTGGAATGTAAGAGGCTGAAACACAAGGGAAGAAGAAGCACATAGCCTGCAGGGGGGTGTTCGGGTCTCGCATCCTAGTTGTAGGAACAAAAGTAGCATAGGAAGAAATAGTATTTTGATTGGACCAGCTTGTACAATAGAAAAAGGATGAATGTTTTGAGAATGTAAGTGCAGCTTCAGGTTGGAATGAACAGCTTGTGATAGTCTGCTGCTTCAGACCCGAAGAAAGGCCAGCATGCCTGCAAGCTTATCTCCCCCGACCTCCACTGGTTGCTTAAGTAAAAGACATTGTTCTGTTTTGAATTTAAGCCAGAGGTTGCCAAGCGGTGATAGTACTGCTATGGGTTCACAAAGTATTTTGGAGCAGTGCTTGTTTGGAGCAGGGAGATACCAAAAGAAGAGGAACCGGAACCTCCTGGTGCACGCCAGGCAGTGGGCATTGAGGCACTGAATGGCTCTGGCTGCTGGAAGCAGAGCTCTGTGCTTCCCTTATCGGGGTGACAGAAGGGATGCAGGCAGCTCCTGGCCTGTGCCTGCCCTGCGGGTGGAAGTTACTCCTAAGATCTGAGGGAGAGCAGCAACTATTGCTACCCAAAAGAAATAATCATGAGGAGATTTAAGCAATACATTCTTATTTCTTTTGATAAGTAAATAAAGGTTCTTGCTGCTGCTCTGAGGTACAGTAACTCCAGACATCAGGTATACAAGGATATTCACACCTACGGGATTAGGCTCACTTGGCTGCACCTTATACTTAGTAATGCCTTAGGGAGGGCTGTTTATCTTGCCTCACCTGCCAACCTTGCTGCCTCTTGTTCCTGATAGCTTAATTAGGAATCCAGACTTGGAATGGTTCTTCCCACTGGGTTACAAACCTTGAAATTAAAGTCGGATACAATGGTCATAAGGCTTTTACTTTAACAAATCAATGGGTGCGTAAAGGTGAATATTTAAGAGGCTGTATTTAGGAATTCTAAGTAATTGTCATTTCGTTTAAAGTGTGGCTGTTGGAGTGCAGTTCTGGAGCTAAGAGAGAAATGCTTATGTAGGAGATAATGTACTTAGCTCTAGGATAAGTAATGGAATAAACTTTTTGTGAGCGTAAGTACATAAGTGACTTTTACAGAAGGGTTTCAAGGCAGAAAAGATTTTAATTGACTGACCTTTACAGCATGTTCTGATGCACATTTTAGTCTTCCTGTGTGAAAAGGAAGGAGGTAAAAGCAGAAATACATGAATGCACATAGTCTTCTCTACTTTTGGATGCTAATTGTCTTAAACTCATCAGTTTAGATGAGTCATCTAGAGTTTTTATTCATTTTTGGGTAAATGGTTTTCCAAGGGCAGGGCAATGGAAGTCACCAGTGTATCTCATACGTTAATTTTTCTTGTCGCTTCAGATTGTAAATTCATACTGCCCTTTTCTTTTGCAGGTGATTGATGATTACAGCGTGATTGGCCGTTCGTTGTTTAAAAAGGAAACAAACATCCAGATTTTTGTGGGTTTAAAAATCAAACTATCTACAGGAGAAGAAGGAATAATAGATGGAGGTTTTGGACAGAGTGGCAAATTTAAAATCAGAATTCCAGGTAGGTGCTCAATAACTGATATGCTCTAATCTGTGTAAAGTATAGAGGATTTTCTCATATTGTAAGCCTGAATATCTCCAGTAGTTCCTTGAAATTTTGTGGCATCATCTCCAAAACAGCTGGATGACTATTTGGTGGGTTTTACCACCTCTAATTAAGAGCTGGGGGCAATGACTTGTGTTATGAGACTCCGTGGCCAGCAGGCGTGTCTGCGTATGAATGAACTCAGGTCTCAAAATGACTTCTGTAAGATGTGGAAATCGTGCTCTGCCCAAAATGGATTTTAGAAATCTCTCTTCTCTTAATATATTGTATAATTTTCTCCACAGCCCTTCTGAGCAAATAAAGGAAAACAAACCTGCAATCATCTTTGCCTGTAGATACTTATTAAATAGAGTGTACTGGATGCAAGTTCTTGAACTCGTCTTCATTCTGCATATTATTATCTATCTTCCCTTCAAACAAAAACTACAAGCACTTTGATAAATGAGTTTTTAGAGATCTTGAGGTTTTTTTATTGCATCTAGTTTTGTGGTATTGTATAGTACTGTATTTGTTCAAACTTGGTGAGTTGCAGCAAGGATTTATGCCTCCTTAGCTTAGAGCATCAGAAATGAGGGGTGCTGGAGTTTAGGTGTCATTATTATTTTCTTAGTGGAAAAAGTGGCTCTAAGCCTTTTCAACAGGTAATAATAGGTGCTGCATTTAACTCAAATCGTGGGATATGGTTTTAGATATACTAGCAGTACTTAATTTCTCTCAAATTTGCAGCCCTTCGTCGCTGTTAATCTACCACCCTTTTTAGAGAGATGGACAAAATTATTCTGCTGTACAACTGGAAAAAAGGAATTGTGATGTTTGGTGGCACCAATGGAATATTTTAAGTTGTTTAACTTCTGATTGATGCAAATGCACTAATTTTGACTCTCTGCAAATTTTGTTTCTTTTGCCTTGGAAATAAGAATTTCTGACTAGGTGAAGACTCCTGTTTTCTAACCTATCTGTAGTAGTAGTTTTGTCGCCAAATGCTAGACTTTCCAAACAGCTTTGTAAGCCTAATTAACAGGCACACTGCATGTTTAAAGAAAGACCTACGCCTAGCATATGTATGTTTTGGGTTTTCTAATATAGAAAAGCATTTAAGCGTTCGTTGAGCTTCCTACTTTCAGGCAGGGGGTGAAATGATGTGTAAGTGTCCTTAACGCTGACAGGGGTTCAAGCTGAAGTTTTTGTTTAAAAAACGTAGTGGTGTTCTTAGTAGTTTTTCTCCCCTGAAGACATAAATGTGTTGAAAGAGAAGAACAATGGGAGGATGCCGTTGACAGTGGCATTTTCATATTTTGGTGAAACTATTCTTCGTGAGAAAGGGAGAAGCCTAAAAAGGACTCTTGTAGCTGTCATCTTTGTGGATGGTGAGCAGGAACTGGAGTTGCAAATCAGCAGTCACGTTAAGAAAATTGTACACAGCATTACAGAATTCTGCTCTGCCTACTGAGTAGGAAGAAACGATACCTTTCACCAAGGTGTTCATATCTAAACATGGTTGGACTTTTCTGGCATTTAACAGCAGACCATCGATATGTAGACAGAATGCTAGAATTAACACCTCAGTAAGATGGGCAGAATAATACCACTTAGCTTGCTTTTCTGCAGTTTGGGTCAAGTTTGGGTACTTTGCTATCTGGAAGGAAGAGGCAATAAGATAACATGAGCTCAAGCTGAAAGTGCGTAACAGGAGAAAACAAAATTTGGAAAGGTTTAAATAACTGTTTCTTTAAGAGTTACAGGGATGTGTGTAGGGGGAGGGCTGTTGCTGTGATGCTGTTTAAGTCAACTGCAGTTCACATTCCATTGTTAGGTCAGTGTTGCTTTTTTAATGTGTCTGCATCCTGTTTGTGGGTTTTTGAGTCTTTTATTAAATTTAACTGGTCCAGTTCTTCCCTCTCCCTCATCCTTTGGCTGTGCCTCCCTTCACAGAGTCTGTACCACGTTGCTTTTGTGAAGAGCTCCTTTCAGTTGGTCTGAATTTATTTCTCTGCAATCCTTTCACAAATGTGTCGGGGAGTGGGAGGGAAGGGAAAAAAAACGTGCAAGTTGGAAACTGCCTTGAATTGCCGCAGTCTGGTCCATCTTGTTGTCTTTAAAACTAGCCTTAACCTCTGGAATTGAATAGCTTGTTCAGGGAGGTAACCTCATGGCAGCTGGGGGCTGCTTTTAGAAACAAAGCAATCAAAATCAGGTAGATGCATCAGAAAGCTGTGCCCTGTTGGCTTGAGGTGGCAGTACGGCGTGGCACCTTGGGGTGCTGCTCTGGTGCCACTGGTGCCCACTCGTGAGGGACGCGTTGGCTCTCGGTGTTGTTCCTTGTCCCTCGGGCACGGCTCGTTTGCTTGTGGATCAGAGCTTGGGAACGCTGTGTTACATCATCTGTGGGCTGAAACTTGGCAGACCTCATAGCTGGGAATGGCAGAGCGCAGCTCTGTTTCTTATTCTGGCACCGCTTGTGTGCAGCAGTGCTAAGGATACTTCTCTGCTTTTCTGTAAAATGGGGATAATTACTATTTGTACTATTAAAATGTTATGAAATCTGATTTAGACTTATTCCAGAGTTGAGGCATTAATATTTCTTGAAAAGGCTTAATTATTATTCCGCAGAGCACAAAAGTACATCTAGAGTACAGCATGCAACTGGAAGTTCCTCAGCCTCTGAAAGATGTCAGCAGTTTGGAAGAAGTTCAGGGAAGAGCAGCAAGAATCCTGAAGAGGTTGAAGGGATTGATTTATGGGGAAAGAAGATGAAAAGGAATGCATGAAACTTGGCTAAATGATTTCTAAGTGGGAGATACGATTATCTGCAAGTATTTGAAGAAAACAGTGAAGAGAAATCCCTTAGGGTGGTCCAGGGAGGTAGAAGTAAAGCTAATAACATGAAATAAAACAAAGCACAGAGTAACTTGACTGTTGAGAGATGTCACTTGACTGATATTTCTTGCACTGCCAAATCATCCCAGCAGAGGAAGATAATGTTTTACTTGGAGAGTACTTGTGTAAATAAGCCTGAATGTTTGCTGTGCCTGTTTCATGGTAAAACACAAACAAGAAGATGGTGGGAAGTAGAAGAATGTATTTTTTTTTCAGCTGGTTTATAGTTTTACATTGGGACACACTTCTATGACCTCAATGAAAAGATACAACTTTTGTTGTGTTCTTCTAATACCTGAATGAAAAGACTCTTAGCAGCAGCATCTGGTTGTTCCTTGTTGTGTTGTGGATTTTTTAATGCTTGCTTGTTTGTTTTTGTTTCTTTCTCCTCCTGTGTTTGCTGGCAGACCTGCCATTCTGTAGGGCTGTCAGTGTTCTTCTAACAGTGAGATAACTTCTAAGGCATGTCAGTCGACAGGAAGACGCTTGCTTTCCAGACGAGTTGTGTGATCAAGTACATAGAGAGACACAATTTCTAAACTAACAAGAGATTTTTGTCTAGTTTAACAAGCTGCTTAAAAAACAAACAATTTAAAAGCAAATGTAAAGCACCATGCTTTGTAAGTAATGCTAGTACGTGTGTTTGTGTATAAGAGTGAGCTATTAATGAGGTTCTTACTGAGGTGGGTGATAGGTGGCAGCTGTTTTATTTGTAAATGGGAGCCCTTCGTTATACAGTCAAGGTAAATGAGTGAAAAGTATTGTTCCCTTTGAGATCAAGAACGAGTTTGGAGAGGCAGGAGCTGTATGTTTAGGTATGCTAAGGAGTACAAAAGCTAGCAAAACATACTTTGGAATACACTTATTTCAACGTACATTGCACCTAGGAATGTCATGCCATTAGATGAATTCTGAAGAAAGCTCACTGAATGGTTTGAATAACTTGTTGCTAATTGTGGCTTTTGTTTAACTGTCTCTCAGCCAGGAACTGACCCTGTAAAACTCTGCTTGGTCTGCAAAATCATAATGTGGTTTGATAAGCCTCACGAGTCTTTTAAAAGATTGTCTCCAGATACGCTCATTTGGTTGGTTCTGACAAGTTGTGTTTGTCTCGTGCTTAATTGTTGTAACATGTAGCGACTTCAGTCTAACTGGAATATGCGATATCTCAGGCATAGGTCACTGTCTGTCTGTCTGTCTGTCCTTGCTGTCTAGGTGCCAGTAAACCGTTCGCCTTTCTGATGCACGGCAGCGTTTGGCTCCAGTTCGCGTCTCTCTCTGACTCAATGCAGTGAAAATTGCCGTACACGAAATGAGTTAAGCTGCGTTACTGCTTAATGTGAAAGCAGTGCGTATCTAAGAAACTCATAAGAGCTGAATGCGTTTTTGAATTGAGCAAATTTAAATATAATAAAATGCACACTTTCCTAAGAAGAGATATGAATGAGAAAATTAGAATACAAGTTTTTTTTACTTTACTGTTCTTACCTGTACATGACAATAGTGGTTTCAAGTTTCTTATAACAGGTGAAGACAAACCTGTTAGTGACCGTGTCTTTTGTTGTAGAAAACTTTTCTGCCTTTCATTTGTGTTATTGTATATGAGAGAATGAGTTTGTTCCCACTGTTTCTATTGTTTGCCTTGGTGGAAGAGTTGGATGCGCTATCGGTGTACAGTAATGGTGTGGACGTGTTTCTCAATTCCAGAGGCACATGGCTCTGGGGTCCTGCAGTGCTGGTGTAAATGGTAATAAATCAATGTGTCTTGTCTTGAGAATCCATCATACTCTTATGTGGAAGTAGGGGCAGAAATGCTAAATGTTTCCCCCTTGGTGTATTGCAGAGAATAGTGTGTAGTTGAGTTTAGTGTCTTTCCATTTTGCTGAATACTGGGGTCACTGGACAAGATCCCATGCTACCTTCTGAAGTAGTTAATGTCAGAGGGAAGTTTTGGTGTAAGAACTGCAGCTCAGCAGTTCTGCTCTGCAAAGTTTTAGTTCTGGTTAAAAAACATGGGTTGAAAAGTTGGACTCAAAGCAGTTTGTTTTTTTCAATATTCCACTTAATGAAATCAGGTA